AATCTGTGGTCGTGTTTGCCTTGCAAAAAAAAAAAAAAAAAAATTTTAACAAATTAAAAATTAAAAAAAACTTTTTCTTACTCCAAACAACCTCAGCACCGCTAAAGCAACACTGAACTCCCTCATCACAGCCAGAGATTTACAAGAAGCCTGTGTGCTTTCCAACTTCCACAAGCAGTGATGAGGCTTGATCCAGACGTGTACTGCTCACCGCAGACCAGCAGCATCAAAAGAAAACAGCGAGCGGCTCGATGAGCTTCAGTCCTGACAGAGCCGGAAAACTGTGCTTCGGCTCCGACTAGAAGGGTTCAGGCAAAACAGGAAGCGTGTCGCGAGCCGAGGTTGTGCTTCCTTCCAGATGCTCTCGCTGGCCTCAGTTTGAGGGGCGTGTGAGGGTGATACTAAGCGAAACGCTCATTTTGCGTTTGTGATTATCGAGACCCATGGGGGATATGCACTAATGTGAGCTAATGCAATAGATTACACAGCAGCGCCTGCCTGGGGAGCAGACAGCAAGCAGATGTGCTGTAGTCAAAAAGAAGAGGAGGGGTGAACGACTCTGTTTAATGCGCTGGATACTGTCCTTTGTAATTTGCTGTTGACAGATTTGAGCACTGTGATGCACTCGGCCAGGTTCAACGCAAATGAACGATTACTAACGTACGGCTGTCCAATAAAAGAGTGTGTGGGCCTCAAATGAAAGATGCAGAAGATAATTATTCAAGGCTTACATCCAAAACGGTGAATGATTGTTTTATCTGTATAAGGCCTAATGTGTCTTTGGGTGAAGAGTTAATTGTGTCCCGGCATTAAATGAAGCAAAAGCACATGGTTTCGCTGGCAGCTGTTCACATGTTGGTCCACACTGCCCTCTAGTGTGCTGCCAGTGAAGTCACATTTTCTGCTTGATACACAATTACTCCAAAACAAGTGCAAAGAACAATTCCAGGCCATATTTCAGCGCAAAATCTTGGGCAAAAAAAGGGGGCAAAATTAATATGAACCCTGACAATATCAAGGTTGCATTTATTTGATCAAAAATACAGTAAACAGTAATTTGTTAATTATTTTTACAATTACTGTTTTCTATGTGAATATTTTAAAAAGTAATTTATTCCTCTGCTCAAAGCTGAATTTTCAGCATCATTACCAAAGTCCTCAGTGTCACATGATCTTCAGAAATCATTCTATTATGCGGATTATCAATGTCGGAGTCAGTGGTGCTGCTTACATTTTTTTTTTTTTTTGTAACCTGTATTTTTTTCAGGATTCTTTGATTAATAAAAAGTACAGCATTTATTCAAAATACAAATGTTTTGTAACAATATACACTATTGTTTAAATGTTTGAGGTCAGTACGTTTTTTTTTTTTTTATTATTATTTATTTAGAAATATATTAATACTTTGATTAAGCAAGGATGTGTTAAAGGAACAAATATAGAAACTATTTGGTAATTTTTGCACGAGATGCTAACGGTCTAATCAGATTCAATGATCTATGCTAAGCTACAGCTAAAAGTGCTACCGCCAGACCCGGAGATCGGCTGAATGGATTCGAAAACGGTAAAACTCAACTGTTTAACTCTAGGGGAGTGTTCCTTTAAATTGATTTGTTTTTAAGTGTTAGTAATGACATATTGTTACAAACAGTGTTGGAGTAACACATTACAAGTAGCGGGAGTTTTTTCAAGTAACGCATTACTTTTTAATTTACAAGAACATATCCGAGTTACTTTTTCAAATAAGTAAGGCCAGTTGCTTTGTTTTCCCATTTATTGACTGACAGCTCTCCTGTCCTCATGTTGAGAGAAATCAGGAGTAAGTGCAGAGGCGTTGTGTGTAGAGGCTGTGTGAACATGTTACTGTAGTTCTAGACTAAATGTGAACATGCATTTACTCATCTCACTTGCACAAAAACAAGATTCAGTATTCCTTAAAATTAATAAAAAAAAGTGAAATTAATCAGAATATGATGCAAACCTGCAATAATTAAATGTTAACACAAAAAATTATTTGTATTTAATCCCATTTTATTAACCAGTGTCTTTGCTGCTGACCATCGATGATCCAATTCAACCATACTAATGAGCAAAAATGATTTTAGATAAACATAAAAAAAAAAATTCTTTTTTAATATTCAAAATACAAGCAAGCCCAGACCAGATGTGGAAAAGTAATGCAAAATTAATGTAATGCATTACTTTCCATAAAATTAACCGAGTAACGCAATTAATTACTTTTTTTTAATTTATTTTTTTAGGTATAACAATATTGTAATGCATTACTTTTAAAAGTAACTTTCCCCAACACTGGTTACAAACACATTTGTTCAAAGCTTCTACCATTGGCTTTCCTAAATTAAAATGCATTAAGAAAAATTATAAATGTATAAATACAGGACTCTTACTGATACATACTTGTTTTATACAATATGTAACCAGTTGTATGCAGCCACTATGTTAAAACTGTATCTTAAGAACTAGTTTGAACAACTAGTAGTTAACCAAGTGGTAATCAGTCTTACTTTTTGGATTCAAATTAGACCAAATCTAACTTGTTACTGACTTTAAAATGTTATGATAAACTGACTCTTAAAAGTTAGTCATCTAATAAAAAAAAAAAATGTAGATGACTAACATTTTATGCAACTGAACACAGGGTCTCTGTTCTGTCTGGTTCTTGACCTGAAAAAATGCTTTTGATCCCAGATGGATTTGTTGAAAATTGACTCACAATAGAGATCCAGCTGTAAAATATGTCCAAGTAACAATGTGGGTCCAAGAAAAGTATACCATTTACTGAAAGTGGAAAAAAAATGTGTTGTATTTAAATACTTGCAAGGTCAAAACATTTGAAATAAACGATACAGTATATCATTCTTTATTGATCATTTGCATATGGAAAAAGTTTATTTATTTGCATTATAGTAATGATAATTTGGGGAAAATTCTAATAAATCTAAAATAAAATGTTAAATATACATATATAAAAATGTGTAACACTTTACAACAACATTCCATTTGTTAACATGAACTAACAGCATGTATCAAACTTAACCTCAACATTTACTTATACATTATTAAAATCAAAAGTTGTATGTGTTACCATTGTGGAACACACTGTGAACTAACATGAACATTTTTATTTATTAACATTAACAAAGGTTAATGACTGCCTATAAAAATATATAGCTCATTATTAGTTCATGTTTTAGTTAACACATGAGATATTATTATTATGGTGTTACCATTTACATTGACATATGATCAAACATTTCTTTGTAAAATTCCTCACAAATTAAAAGAGGTCTAGAGGGGTGCCTAACATCATGAAAACGACAACTAGATGATCATAAAAAGCTTCATCCGTCTCAATCTTCATTAGAACTTTTATAAAAGAAAGACTAACTACCACTTCACTAGTAGTTTGTCTATAGACTACTTGGCCTGCAAAAAAAGTACAGTACGTCTAAATACGACTGCAAATTATAAGCATATGACAAATTTAATTATACAATAAACATCCACAATCAAGATCGAAGACAAAATAATACTCACCTTCCACAGATGAAAATGAAAAACAGACAATCTGACTTTTCTCCCAGTTTGCACAACTGCTTTATTCTGCCTCTAGAGAGGGCCTGAGCCCTGAAATACACCTGGCTTAATAACAAGGTTACAAGATTGGAAATCCAAATTACACATTCTGTTAAAGACCAAAAATAACAGCATCGTCCATGAAACATTGGATGAGACGAGCGGGGAGAAAAAGCATCTTGGCTTCATTATTTTTGCACGCCTTTGACACAACCTGACCACAAGAATGGAACTCTAAAGAGAAAGTCATAAGTGAAAGTGCAAAAGAAAAATTTAAAACGGGAACAGGTACACCCTAGAGAAAAAAAGCACAACTACAAACACTTGGTGGCCACTACATTTTAAACCAAACTACCTACACAAACCCAATTCGGTGTGAATCAAAATACTGAGCGGGAGCGAGGACAAAAACCAGAAAGACAGATCGAACCTGCGTTTAGCATGAAGCAGCGTTGGTTTTTGACCAAAGTCGATTAGAAATCCATTATCACTCAGCCTAACTGATCTATGACTCACAAGAAAACTAAATAAGGGGCGATTCATCATTGTGGTGTGAAGCAAACGGAAAAAAAATAAAACGGTTCAAGTTTATCATCAATGAAATATGATGCATTTGCTTCAGCTCATGAAAGCCCCTTAAATATTACAAAATAAGTTAACTCTCCAAACATCTTCAGAGTTAGTATACTGAACTCAGACAGTAACAGAAACCACGACGAGCTTTAGTCACTGTTCCACATACAACCTAATAAAGCAACACACTTGCCTGAAAATAAATACACTTGATTATTAAGTAAAAAAGAAAAAAAAAAGACAATAACAAAACAATTCTGGTGTATGAAAACGTAACAATCACATCAAAAATGCTCACCACATATTTGGCAGAAACTGCTCAGCAGTGGAGGCGCAAACATCACAGTTATGTTTCTCATCAATCCTGAGGATCCCGTTGAATGTCTTTGTCACAGTGAAAGAGGTTCCACGCAGTCCCTGCATTTCTTTATTTTACTTTTAAATGTACCTATACAACAGTACAGTACGTCACCATTGCTTCAGAAGTCTCGCATCAGAGACGGTAACACAGCAGCTAGATTTTATACAAATGAGAAAGTTTCTAACTTCGGAAACTATCGACTTCCCGTTCTGTGCATAGCATAAAGTTGACCTGCAAAAGAGATGTTAAACATTAACAATACAGACACGATTAGAGGAAAGCAAAAAAACACAGCGCCCCTCTTTGTTTATTTGGTCAGTGCCATCCACTCGTGTATTTAGGCTTTTAATAAAAAGTAAATGGAGGCACTTGCTGGGCTTGTGGTTTGATTATTAGTATTGAGGCCATCATCATAAACCACCGACCCACAACAGATTCACAAGTCAACTGTCATGCACGGAGTGCGTCTGACGTTCAGCTTTGTGTTAAGTGCACCGCAGATGAATCTATTGCCATAATGGAATGCAAATTGAATCAAAACAACACTGTTCAAGGCTGCAGTCCAAGTTCGTTCTGCCTTGCAGCCAAGGATAGAGCAGAGCTCAGGCCCGTATCCACACAGTACATCCTTCCAACACGTCAATCCCTTCAGCGGTAGTGTCTGAAGAACAGTGAGCAACATCAAATCACTTAAACTTTTCTTCCGGCCAAGGACCCCACCGTCGCCATCAGCGTTTTATCTACGTATTTCGAAGCTGTGGAGGAGAAACAGTGCGATTAGCTACAAAAACTACAATGCAATACATGAGAGCGAGGTCTGCTGAAGACATTTACCCTGGATAGGTCTAAGAGCTCTTATCTGAAGGTCCACAGCGTTCATTACTTAGAGGACTGGTTTGGATTCTCCTCTGAGTCATACTAGTTGAGTAATGAGGGAAGATCAAGGACCTGCTCCCTAAAGAGAGGAGCATACGGGGTAGTGTTCAGTCATGATCCCAAGCCACCTCCTCACTAAACAAGTGCCAAGACCATTTAGGCCATGGTGAAGTCTTAAAACTTCAAATAATTCTTCAAAGCTCCTGCCTGCATTTTCTTAAAGGAAAAATGCTTGAAATGTTATTTTAACACTATACCCTAAACGTAAAGATATATATATATATATATATATATATATATATATATATA